AGGATATGAGGAGGTGAGACTGGCTAAAACAGTGAGTCTGTAGGACCGTGTCTTCACATGACAATCAGATGTTAAACTGGCTTATCTAGTTCCTGAAATTGCATCTTTTGCCTGGGCAGAGTGCCATGCTATATAGATACACCTTATGTATGCCATCTCAGCCTTCCAGAATGAGACTGTTGACTATGTAGACATGTTGGTTAGTGTGTGATTTTTATGTTTTTCTTCATGTTTTTTTTTTAAGCTGATCTCACTCTGCCACAGACAAGCCTTGCAAAAATCATTTTGCCATTAGTAATGTATTTATCATGGGAAGCTGGGATTAAGAAGTATCAGGAAATGTATAGTGCTTATGTTGAACACATTGCCCTCTTACTTTCAGCAGCAACATACTCTCAACATATACTACCCTTTAGAAGCAGTGTCTTCTGATATGCATGCAGCCTGAAAATCTATGCAATTTTAGCATGCCTGTTCCCAGGGCCTAGTATTCAGGTTTATGTGACTTTCCTCTTCCTTAAGTTGTAGGTGACGCAAAGATTTTTACTGTACAACCAACAATGCATATATTCCTCAGTTTTTCTTGTCATCTAGGCAGGTTTTTATTTTGAGCCAAGTAAAATTTTCTTTATCAGCGAATTTCAGATTGCTATTTTATTTTTATAAGTCAGTATATTTCACTGAAGTTAATTTGTTCTTAAGTGTTATTCTCTGTAGCTGGCATCGCAAACAACTCGCCACATCTGTAAATATCGTCAGAATGTTTTATTGAAATGCAGAAGGCCTTCTGTACCATACTCTGATTTTATCATCATTTTTGGCAGCGGCCAAACTGCAGTCAAGATTGTAGAAAACTAGTGGATTTTTTTTCCTTTTTATGGAAAAGCCATATGTATTCAAGCCTTTGGAATCTTTCCTCAGTCTTTGGTGACTGAATAAAGATTTTTTTTGGTGTTGGAAATGGTGTCTTAATTAAAAATATCCCAATAAAATGAATTTTGAATACTTCTTGAGGCAAATCCTTTTAATCTTTGCAGGGCTATATGAGGTTTCACTGGTATGTGTTTGGTTTTTAAAGTTTACGTTCCCTGTCAAGAAGGCTCAGAAGGTCACATTTGGACCAACTGCAGATTCAGTGAACCTGGTACCTAAGTCACAGAGCCTTGTGTGTGAGTTGCCTAAAACCATATGGTTTTCCTTCCTCTTCTTGCCAACTGTCTTGTTGATCTTGACAATCAGCACAATAGCAGTGTTTATCTGAAAAGCAAGAGGTAACTGCACCTTATCTGCTCTGCCTAGAAGTTATTGAACCTTGTACTATCAAAACAAAGTAAAATAATTATTGCTGTCTCTCAGGAGTCAATAGTAGCTCAACAGACCTCTGAAATAATCGTCTGCGAGTGAACCTTGCACAGTGTTGTTATCAAAGCAGTAATTTTAAGTGCATGTGTTGATTTCAAAACAAAACTCCAGAAAAGGCCTGAATTCAACACACTGTCTCAAAAAGGAATAAATTTCCTTCTATGTCTTTGCACCAGTATCTCCAATGTCCTGAAGTAATATCAAAGATCAGAGCAGACAACCCCTTATTTAGTCCAGTAGATTTATGTTGGCAGGTGCAAGCTGATACAAATGCCCATTGGCTACCTGAATCTGATCTCTCAGTGCTGTGACCAGGACCTCTGTCTGTCTCAGTCTGATGCCTTTCACCAGATGATTTGGCTTTTGGGTAGTTGAGCACCATGGACAGGGACTTCTTCCTACAGGTTTGGAAAATTTTTAGCAGTAGTACGTTACAAAATCTTGATTGAATGGCCTAAAAGATCTAGGCTGTAAGTCCTTATTTACACATCCACATCTGAGAAGAAGCTGATGTTTCGTTCAGGGGCCGTTCGTCTGTTCAGTGGCCATCCACAGTTCATCAGACTTTGTATTTTACCAGGAATCTTTCTCTGGATTTTTTGTAAGACAACATATCTGGGAGACGAGTCCAAAGAAGTAGCACTGTCTGTACAATCCATTTCAGTCTGAGTAAAAACTGAGTACCGTGACTGTCATCAAAACAGTCTTGATGTTGCACAGAGTCATTGATTTTTTCTCCAGCGTATGTATGCAGTACAACATCGGCAAGCTGGCATTTAGCCCCAGCATTTGTGTCATCAGGAGTGGTTTTGGCACCTGACTTTATTATGTGCTCACTTTTTGTCTTTAGTATTTCTATGTGTAACTACTTTGCATCTGTTGTGTGATTGTCAGGGACAAATTGTAAGGGCACTTCTGAGCAAACTGGCAGCTGGAGGGTTCACAGCATAAAATCACACGAACGCTACTGGTAAATGATATAACTGATAAGGTACCATTGGCAAGATTTTGGCTGCATTCAAGATCTTATTTTTTCATGTTTAGTGACTGGAAGGTAGAATAAATTATTTCTAGTTCATGCCTGATTCCTGATCAAGGAACAAGTTGGGATTGATATTACCTATTCTACATCTACCTAACACAGCATCTTTCTCTGTATGTACTTAGTTGCTTGGGTCAAACGCTTGTTTAATTTAGACATAAAATAGAAGTAGGTATCTAGTTCTGTAGACGTTTTTTTTTTTCCTTCCTTCTCAGTTTTATTGCACAGTGGTATCGCAGAAGAAAATGCACTCATCAAAAAATGATTTATATTCCTCAGCTGACCAGCACTGCAGCTTACCATGTCATTTTGGAAAGCCAGTTCACACTCTGCAGCATCTCCTTGAGCTCACATACTTCTGAGTGAGACTGGTGCAGCTGCCTGCTGATTTCCTTCAGCCTTTTGTTCAGCCGGTTCTTTTCTGAGTAAATATGCATAGCAATCAGTGTTGCCCATCATTATGGAGATTTGTGGTCAGAGACTATATCACTGGTGGCAACCTTCATGTTTTGTCTTACACTGGGCTCAGAGCAACCTGTGGATTAGCACAGCTAATTGAGAAGGGAGACAAGCCTACTGACAAGGTTTATGAAGGCGTATGACAGTGTGTTTCTAGTATTTTCGATATCAGGTGCTAAAAGAGCTTAGCTGACTGTGTTCTTCTTGAAGTTGTCATAGCCTTGGATAAGCTGTCCCCATAGGTATGCAGGCTTCTCGTGATAACATCCACTGAAGTAGTAAAGCAGTGGCCCAGAAGGCATCCTTCTGATGTTTGTATGGATTATAAGCCTTCGACTAGTAGTTCCAGCTTTTGGTTGAGTTTGGGATACAGACGTGTAAATATCTGCAGAGCGACTGAAGTTACTTCAAAGGGCGCTTTTTGCTCTCCGTTGCTGTCAAGATCCTCTGCTTCTCTTCAGTGGGTTGTTGCTGCATTTTATAGAAGGGATATTTTTATTATTTCAGATATTTCACAGGCTTTTGCTCACCACGACGTACAGCTGTATATGTAATGATGATTCTGTTTAAACTTAGCATACTATTTGCAATCACCCTTTTAATGAGAATTGTAATATAGATACTCACCATAGATACATGTGCACTTGTTTAAACATATGTATTTCTTGTTTACAGTATTTTTCTTACTTTTTCTGACTTCACAAAACATTTAAAATATTAAAATGAAAATTAGCTACAGATTACTGTTCAGGAAATATGGAAGTAGTACATATGTGTTACAGTGGCAGAGTGAATACTGAATATTCACATAGCTTTAATTTGTCCTTACTGGCTGTTAAAATAAAGTACTATATTTTAAAAAATTGCGTGTCATCAGGTAACTAAGTAGTATATGTATACGAGTTTAAGACAATGTTAAGACTGAAAGGAGTTTGTTACTTTGTCTCAAGATGAGTACATCTTTTTCTACTTTAATGTTAATGCTTTTTGTACTGATCACTCAAAAACATAAATAAAGCTGCTGTAGAACTACTTTATTGAATTACAACATAAGGATGATTTAGGAAAAAAAAATTAATGTGGTGGAAATCAGGCAAGCATTTATTTTATTTAAAAAGAATAAAATTAGTTGCTTCATAACCAGCTGGACAAAGTCTGGTTTTAAGGAAGTGTATGAAACAGAAAGGAAATCCTTTCCATTTCCTTTGCATACACTTTATGCATAAAAAACAGCTATGTATAGGGGACACTTGGCAAGTTTTCAGTTGTCTAGGTGTTGAGTCACATAATTCTGAGGAAAAACATTACATAAAACGTTCTAGTTCAGTACTTTCTGCTGTGCTTCGAAGGATACTTCTTATTCATTCTTACCTTACTCAACTGAAATTTCTCCTCTTACATATATCTATCTATCTACTTTGTTTGCAAAGATTCCTCTATTTTATATACGTTCCTATAAATTTTTTCTTAACTTGGCTTTTGGACTATATGCATATCTCACCAGACCTTTAACCGGAAATGAGTACAGACAAGATAGAGTTCTATATATAGGGCCTAACAACTTTTAATCTGTTTTTGTCATGCACATTGTTGCATTTCGACTACTTTTTACTGTTGACTTACTGGCAGTGATGTGTGCATTTACTTTTTTGTAGGTCTTTTCTCATGGAATGTCTATGAAATTGTAAAAATTTTTTTCATCTTCAGTAATCCCATTCAGAAATATTTTTTAATTCTTAATCCTTTTGCTTGATATGAGCTCTTACGTTTTCTGTTTAATATTTCATCTTCAGTACGTACAGTTTATGATTCTGTTTCAGACACTAGGTCTCATTAGTCTAACTCTTTCTCCACAGACTGGTGAATTCTCAGCTCGCTTCCTCTTGAAGTTGCCTGTAGATTTCAGCAATATTCCTACATACCTTCTCAAGGTAAAATGAATGTCTAAAATGACAGTATTTGTGACCAAGTAGGAATTATTGAAATGAATGTTCTTAGTAACTTTTTCAACTTTCTACCTTCCACATCTCAAGAGACTGAAAGTCCATAGTATCTAAATCTTTCCAAAACCTAACCCTAATCAGGTGGTATTATGCATACTGTTATTTTGCATGCCATTTTAGCAGATAGTAAATGCATACCTGTCAATCTGAAGGACCTTGCAGGATTTGTGTTATTGTTGAAGATCAAATGCAACACAGATATTCTGGGGTTTTAGACATATGATAGCGAGCAAGCCCTTGATCATACCCAAGGCATTTTCATAGGGAATAAACTTGAATATTTTCACATAAACTCTTCTAATGTGAATTTGTGGAATTTTGTTCTATGTAAGTGTATGAGGTTTTTTGTTTGGTTGTTTGTTTTTTTTTTTCTCCTCCTCATGAACAGTCAAATTGTGCCAGTAGTCTTGATGGTAGAAATAAATGTGATAACATTTCTTAACAGGGAGTGAAAGCGATTAATGGTGACATGGACTGACGAGTTTCAGTGATTACTTTGCTTTGTTGTTTATAATAAACATGAATTTGGCAAGATACTTAACATAGTTTTTACAAGAAAGTAGGACCATAATAACAAAGAATGTGTTAGAGTATTGGTATAAGTTGGAAAAATGTATTCCTTTCTTTGTTTGGAAGAAAAAAACTTGTGACAAAAACTACCGACATGGAATAATTTGACTGACTGCTTATCTTCTGGGCATTGACAATAACATCAGTGCCTTTCACAGCAGATGGACAGTCACTGTGGAAGCCCATCATAAGGTCAATATTGCTGTATTCAGAGAAGCCAGTGACCAATCTGCATTCACTCTGTCATTAATGTTACAGTAAAGTACCAGAATTCTTGCTTCTGACAAGGTTCGAGTCAGCTGATGTTGCCAACATCCATCTTTCCTTTTCACAGCTAAATGACAGCCCTGGCTCCTTACTTGGATGTTTACTCTTAAACATTTAAAACAAAGAAGAATAAGTACTTAGTGTTTAGCACCTAATTTGTTGAAATGAAAGTGTCGGTGTAGATTCCATGATCTCCTCTTCATCTTTGCCCTTTAAGTCTTCAGCTGTTGTTAGATCACAGTTGCAAGTGTGAATCTTCACTGTTTCTCCATATAAGATGTCTTGAGCTAAGGACCATGAAAAAGTAAAGGCATACACAATATTACCGAACTGAACTGTTTGGTTGTTGTCTGAGCTATGTATCCTATGGTCTCCTTCTGTACACTACTAGCTGTTTGAGTATTGACCTGCTCCTGTCAGCTTGCTTTCTCAAAAGCCTCTAAATATTTTCAGTCTGCTCCTGTTTTCATGATAGCATCTGTCTCCCAGCTGCTGTCTTTCATCAGGGCCTTCTGACCTTGCTTGATGGGTAAGTTTCCAGTCACAGGTGTAAGAGGGGCAACCAAGAGTTCTTCAGCAGTCATGGTGTTAGAAGCAGCATGCAGCAAGTTTACTTGGATTGCAGCATGCTCCTGACTTGCTTCTGAGAGGCCCTGTGAAAAAAGGGGACTGAAAACTGCTAACGTGAACTGTACTGTCAGCTCCCGCCGGAACTCCTAAGTTGCAATATTTTCCAGGAACAACTTTAAAGTTGGTCGAGAATTTCTCGGACGTGTTGTACGTACACGGTATCTTTGATAGCTTCAGTCACAGGGCTGTACTTTGTACTTCTCTTCTGCCCCTGAGGAAATTACATGACTTGCAGACTGGAAGGTGATAAATGTTTTGTGTAAGTAGCTGTCATCACGTAGAAATCCTGTGATAGAAACAGATTCTACTTTATTTCTGAAAAGTGACATTTTACTGCCTTATGCATGACGCTGTGCTCTTTCTTATTATGATTTCCTATCGCATGTTCAATAACCATCTTCCACCTTCTTTAAGGAAAATTGATATGCTGTGAATAAATCATCAGTGCTACGTAATTGATTCCCAGAGCATTGTTCACCCTGAGTATTGAATGAATCAGTGGTCTCAAGGAAAACATGGGTGCATTTGCATGCGCGTAGACTGTGTGAAGAAGCGTGCACAAAAGGTAGTAGAATCGAAGTTTCACAGTCTGCCTTTATTTTGATCTTTCTAAAATCCTAGTGTCTTAGCAGTTTTAATATTCTTTAATGTATTTTCTGTATGTAATTGCCTGGATTTTTAAAACAGCAGATCCTTACTGATGGGCAATGCACTGATGAAATCCTTAGACTTCTTATGCAGACTTCTGCTACTTGAACTAGCAGGTTAACTATCTGTGGTAGGAAGCTGGTGTTTAATCAGGATGAGTAGATACAGGAGAAGAAATGTAATTTTATTCTGGTAATGTTTGTTGACAGCAGGAGAATGGTTTGACTGAGACTCCAGCTTGGACTGTGATAGTGAGTGCACTGTAGCAGGCTGTAGCATGAATCTTTTGCCCCTGTTGCCTTTATCTCCTTATGGTCTGACACTAGAGGTGTATGAATCTCATATTGCAACAGTGTAAATTCAGGTAGAGCTGGAAATACCCTGTTGTGCCTGGAATAATTATGCTCTGACTACTCCAAATTCATGAACCTATTTGAAGAATTTTGATTTCTTTTCTTTAAGCAAGCAATATCTTTTTTTTTTTTTTTGACTGAGACTCTTGACAGAAATCTTGGAATTTTATAATAAAATATGAAGTTATTTTCAATCATGTCTGCCAGTTATGTTGGCTAGAATGCTTCCTACTGAGTTATGACACATGATAGGGAATCCATTGATGTAGGGGTAAAAATGTGAATATATATTATCCTGAAAGGTAGAAGAATAGTCAGTAATTGAAGGCTGCTAGTACAGAAGCAGCTTCACGTTTGAACTGCAGAACCGAATGCTGTGTTTGAATAATGTTCTAATCTGTAGCCAGCTTTATATTGCACAGTAGCTTCTCTTAAATGATTTGCCAAGTACAAACATGTGTTATACCGTCTAAGCCATGGAATCTTATGTCTTTTCTTAGGTTTAATTAATATGATTTGTATTTAAAATCTGTTGAAATATTTGAAGACCATTATTCTTATCTCACTCCTAGTCCCCCAATAATGTGTATTACTCTTCTGAGTTGATTTCAGTAGGTAGTCACACTACAGGTGTGCCTGTTAAGCTTTGTATAATAAGATAATGTTCAGGTTTAAGGAAGTATATTATGAATATTTTCTGTAGTGTTACGAAGTCTTTGGAATTCTTGGGAATATACTCCTGATTCATAAGAACTTACACTGTCAACTTTGTGCTGGTGGTGATGAGAGTATTTTCCTTTCTATGTGAAGAACAAAAATTTGAAAGCGCAACATAAGTTGGATTGTTATGTACCAGAGAGATTGATTTACCAAGTTATTTTAAAGCTATTTAGTGTATTAATTTTAAAATTCGATTAAAGTGATTGTGCATTATAAGGGAAGTAGTTGCGTATACAAAGAAAAACAAGAATGACTGAAAATGCAACACAGAATACACTGTTCCTTCCTTCAAAATTTTAAGTTCTATTAAATATATGTCAGTTATTACTTATTTGAAATCATTTGAAACTTATTGTGGGAATGACTAGCATATAAATCTCTTTTCATACTTTTTCTTGGCATATTTGTTCATATTTGAATGAAAAAGTATCATCTTTTGTTTTCTCAAGCAAATGAACTGTTCAAAAAGAAATGTTGGTTTACACTGAAAGTGACATTTAGGAAAAACAGGCTTTCATGTTTTTTTTCCTCACAAAATTATACTTTATTTCTGAGGTTTTGAATTGAATGTGAATCTTCATATCCACTTTTGCTGTTTCTAATGCAAATCTATTTGACATGAATGAAGAATTTAAATGTTTTAACAACTGCAGAATCAAGTTGGTCACTCAATATGTACTGCAAGGTTCATTACTGGTAAGTCTTTCATTAAGGTTCTTTTATCTGAGGGGAACGTGGCTTTGGTTCAGGAAAATCTTTACATCTTTATCTGTTTGCTCTTATACTTTCCGTTCTTTGGAGTTGGCTTTTTAATTGCCACATTCATTTTGGCTAAAATTATTTTCTGTTGGTTGCAATGTGTTTAATTTTGTCGCAGTATTTTATAAATGGAAGTATTCACTCTACATACAGGTTTTGAAATTCAGTCTTCAGTTCACGTTTGTCTCTCTACAGATAACATGCATGCCGCAGTAATAGTAAAGGTGATACACTTACCATCTAAAATACTCCATCCAAATTTCTTTTCGTTCTCTATAGTTTTGATCAGCTGCAGGGACTTGTGTTACCATGCTGATAATTCCGTAAACGTCTCCAGCTCAGTAATTTGCAAATTGTACTATACTATGTGATTGTAGTATAAACACACTGTACAGGATGTTGCCAATCATGCTGTTGGATACAAGATTTAGGTTTGTTTTTTTTTATTTTCATGATTTTTGCATTTTAGTTTGGTAGGATGTGGCCTGATTACCACCGCTGTCTTAAAGGCAAATTTTAATGTGTTCATTTCTACGTTTACGTACCTGGTTGTTGTGCTTTGGTAAGTAGGTAGCGTCTGGATCAATGTAAATATGATGTTGTGACCAGCTTTAGTAAAGCAGCCTTCCAATAATTTGTTATTATGCAAATATAAAGGAAGTATTCAAAGCGTACTTTTTTTTTTTTTTTTCTGGAGATCTTTTTATCTTTAAACTTGCCTTTTCTGGAGACCTTTTTTGTGATAACCTCTGTATTTAATGCATATCTTCTAGAGCTGAAACAATACCAGGCATTGTCAAGACACGCTGTCAGGGGCCTTGTGTACAAGGCTGTCAATGGAAAAGGTTTATCCTCGAGGTCAAGCTGAAAGAGCGTACCTGTTTTTTAACAAGTGTGATTTCATCATTTAGAAGTATTTGTTAAAGACTTCAGTGCAACTTTTGTTTACAAAGTAGACCAAATTCCAGGAACTCTGAAAGA